TTTGGAGGACCCTTAAAGAGAAGAAGTAACCAGGATGGACATTTTTAGTTAATTTCTGTCATTTATAGACAGGAAAGAAAGCTGATATTCATACCATAGGAGTCTTGAGCTGGTTCCAAAGATTTCTCATTGAAGACTTCTGTGTCACTTTCACTGACTTGAGACTTCTGTACAGCTCTAACTTCAGAAGACAAACCAGCTGTTTTGATAAAAACATTTTGTAAACTTATCTTGTTTCACATACTAAAGTCGCGAGTAGAACAAAAAACCCCCAGCATTTTTCACAACGCATTACAAATTAGATCACCAGATAAATTTTTGATTTATCAATATTGAGAATGTCTATCACATTTGTCATTTCTATTTCAGCTGTGGACCTACAGTTACTCGGCAAAGACAAATGTCAGCGCAGGCCGTGGAGTTCTACAGAAAAAGCAGCTTTGTGGCGATAACTGGGGCAGTGCATCACTATGCAAAGAGTTCCTGGTAAAGAGGTCTGCCTCAAGGCACTTGAAGCAGAACCAGTACTGGGCAGTCGCAACTGGAAAGATTTAAAGAATAATGTCCACAACTCCATCGTGTCTCAAAAAAGGAAATTTCATTTTCAATTTATGTTGTGCAAATAAAGCCAGTTGTGACTAATTTTGTGTGCTAAATTGTTTATCAAGCTTCTATCAATGGAGTGGGTGAATTAAAATAGGTAAATCAAGATTAGAGGACTTTGACAAACATTGCTTTCAGTGTTACTGGTGTAAAGCAAACTTAGCAAGTGACATGTAAGATTGAAAAAACCTAAAGTTTAGATGTCTGCAAAACTACCCAGTTTTAAATGTAGAGATGCATGCATATACCATTTTTATAATACATTTTTAATAGATGTAAATACAATCAAATTTAAATACACTTTACATTGGCAAAATTAAAAACCATAGGCTTCCATCTTTGTAATGCTGTAATTTGGGTTAACCAGGAAAGTAAGATGGGACCGTTATGAAAGATCTGCTAAAATCTGGTGATATAACATGCATTGTTTTGGTGCTTTGTGACAGAAGGTCCAGTTCACCGAATCTGCCTGGCAACAGGCTCCGGTCCCCACACGTGTAGAAAAAAAAGATTTTTTTATTGCGAGTTTTCTGAATTCTGAAGTGACATTTTGATTCTCTATTGCCACCTCATGATTTGTGTTTTGCACCATTGTAGCTATAGTAGAAGTGGTGGCCCTCACAAAGAAGTCACAGAACATGGGCCACACAAAGGCATAAAGACATGTGTGTGTGTGTGTGTGTGTGTGTGTGTGTTGGTGAGCAGGATTACAGACAACTGGCTGAATGGATCATCAACATACTCGGTACAGACATTGGTGGGTACAGCCAAGGAAGTGATTGACCTTTTTCAGCCAAAATCTAAAGGTCAAGGTCATAAAAAAATCACATACACACACAAATCCCATCTTTAACATGGGGCAAACTTAAAAAAAAAAATAAAATAAACTGATATCTCAATCAGAAGTTATCAATATAATTTTTTGTTTGAAATTTGACACATGTACAGTGGCAATGTCTGACCAGACCAAATTTCATCTGGATTTGTTCCGGATTCCAAATTGGACAGCCATTTAAAGTTAACACTGAAAACTCCATTTAACACTTATCTTCCTGCCATAGCTTGGCCTATAATGAAGATACAATCTTGAAATGTTCAGGTAAGATGTCCAGTATAACTGCCCATCATACCCTAAAAGATTATTTAGATCCAATCTGGATCAAAGATTTTAGGACACATTTAGTCTCGTTCTGTATTATTCAGAAGGGACCTATTTGCATGAGCAGATGTTGTGCCTTGGCAGAGGTACATGCACTCTCTGAGTGCTCTTTTTCAAACTATGGCTCCCACTCCAGCTAATTACGTATATATAATGAATGTCTTTTTTTCAGTGCAACTCAACCACTCACAGTTCATTCTGAGATTTGAATTTAAGTGTGTTATGCTAGCAGCAGCTAATGTAGCTTCAAGCAGAGACAAGGAGCTATATACAGAGGCCTGGTAAACTTCTGACCACACACCCCAGACCTGACCTGGGGAAAAGAAAACAATAGATTTGGGCACATGTTGCAGCTGTCAGGATAACTACTAGGTTTGGACCTAGTTTTTAGTTAAAATTCTATACAAGATACTAAGGTATGGGTTTACATGCGTAAAGAGATACGCAAAAATCTGAAAACTTTCCAGAAAGAAACTGAGGAGATTTTATTCTGGTAGAGAGCATCCTCACTACTGGCATCACAGTCTGGTATGGTAACTCAACTCAACTCAACTTTACTTATAGAGCACTTTAACACAGCCAAAGCCAAACAAAGTGCTGAACATAAGATTGGTAACACCACACAGGCAGAGAGGAAGGCTCTTCAAAGGGTCATAAAGATGCCAAAGAGGATCAATGGGACTGAACTGCCTGCTATGGACACACTGTACACACAACGCTGTCGTAAAGGGGTCGTAAAAGGGCAGAGAACATACTCAGGGATCCACGCCACCCAGCTCATTCCCTGCTCAGACACAAAAACTATACCTACAGCCTCA